GATTGATGATGTTGTTCAAGGACGACACGGGCTTGTCCCAGTTTTCCGAGCTGAAATCCTGAACACGACATCGCAACGCCAAGTATGTCGAACACTTACGAATGAGCCCACATAGAAACCTCCTCAAACTCGTGCGGCTTCTTCTTGGAGCCGTTGGAGGCCCATTGAACTGTTTGAATCCTGTGAAAGGTCTGTGCAAAGTTATATGGAACCTAAAAACAGCTGCAAGGCAAACCAAGGCGAAAAGCAGGAACATCAGTATCAAAAGCTAAACTAGGCGTCAGAGCCGGAAGCTAACGAGTCAGTACCAGGGGTCTATCAGACAGCATGGCTGCAATAGCCGTTAGCTTCTGCAGAGTTACAGATTGGCTTTACAGGCTTCTTGCTTCAAACCTCGTTCCGTTAGCTAAGCCATAGTAAACCCTAAAGCCTGTGCCCTCGAGCCCAAACCCTAACCTCAGCCCCCCAAAAGCAAAGCCTCCAAAAAAACTCTCAGACGGCAGAGGTTTGACCTGTTAATTTCTGAGGCATAAAGGCAGGTCACGGTATGGAGTGATGAAGTGCGTAGTTTATGTTGCTGACAAATTTCGCAATCCACATGGTTCACATGTGTAGTTCTATTCGGTACACACATGCACACATGTACATTCATACATCTGTGTGTTTATATATATATGTACACAACACACATGCATATGCATGCTATGTGCAAGCATGTATGCATGCATTCATGCATGAAAGGAGTATATATTATATATGTGTATATATACACACATTGTTAAACAAAGAATTAAAATAAATAAAGAGATAGAGAGATAGATAAATATATGTACACATACATACATACATACATACATACATGTATACACATGCATACATGCATACATGCATGCATGCACATATATATATATATACATATGGTCCCCCCTATGGATCCGCCATTTTCTGGCTTCAGGTACGCGCCATCGACAACAGCGTTGAAAGCTTCCCCAAACCCCAAACTCTAACCCTCGGCCCTGGAAAACAAACATCGCAACGCTGTTGTCGATGGCGCGTACCTGAAGCCAGAAAATGGTAGATCAGGAAAACTAACATTCGTATTTGTGTTAATACTTTTTGGCATGTATATCAGTGTTAGTATTAATACTTACGCGTTTTTGTCTTTCGATTAATGATATTCCTACTAGTAGTAGTAATAATATACATACTTATACTAATATTGTTTTTATAATATGAACACTAAGACTCTCACGAATACTACTCATAGTAATGTTAGTACTATTATGAATACTGGTGTTCTTACGAATGGTATAATCATATTCACTTGCCATCTGGGTACTAATATCATGCTAATGCTAATACTAGTACCAAAACTATTGTTAATACAATACTGATAGTGTTACATATATTAATACTCATGTTTGTGTTAAATATTCTCAATACTTATGCCAATACTAATCGTTCTTTCAATACTAATATGAATACTAACATTAACATGAATACTAATGCTAATACGATGATCCCATGCATAGTAATATTAATATTAAGACGTAAGACTTATACTAATGGTTATTGGTATGCGTACTGCTACAAGTTGCTTACAGGAATCTGTGCGTATGAGAACAAAACAAAACTGCAAATAGCACATAGTACAGTAGTTCGACTCGTTTGCTGCTTGTTTCGCTAACTCTTCGTTTGCCTCACATCGCAGTTTTCTGGATCGGCTGCTGCTGGCTCAACCACCACTGCAAGCGGGGGATCCTAGGGGGGTAGCTATTATATGGTGCCCCCCTATGGATCCATCTCGATATATAAAACAAGTCTGCGTAAGGCCAACAGCCGCCCATGGAAGGCCTGTGTTAGTGCACGGGGCCGAGGAACAACTTTGTGGGCCAACCTTGGTTCCCAGGCTTGGGCCAGCGTTAAATAACACGGGCCGTGTTAATTAACACGATCCCCTAGGACCAAGAACCACGATTTCCGTCAAAGTTTCCGGACAGCATCCTGGTTCCGGCACTTTGGCCCTGGCGCGTGTTAAATAACACGGACCGTGTTAAGTAACACGGGGCCCAACCAAGAACCAATAACCAAGATTCCCGGAAAAGTTTTAGGACGAATGTTGGTTCCCACGCGTGGGTTCGTGTTTAACACGGCCCCAGGCCCAAGTACGGGAACCAAAATGCTGTCCGAAAACTTTTCTGGGCATCTTGTTTCTTGGTTCCAGAGGACCGTTTTAATTAACACGGGCCCAGCGTGGGAACCACTTCGCCAGAGCTTTTCCGAATCCTGGTTCTTGGTTCCTGACTTTGTACGTTAGCCCGCCTTGCACAGCCACGCGCCTGAGTTGAGCCAGGTACCCAGAAACGATCCTTTCAGGACCAATATCAAAAAGTCAACATAGCCCGTCTCGCACAGCCAGTAGCAGAGCACCCACATTGGGCCAGGAACCCAGACACGGCCCTTTCAGAACCAGTACCATCTAGTCAAGGTGGTCATTCATTAATTTCGTGATCCTTGGTTCATGGCCCGTGTCACTTGTTACGGGCCTAGTGATTCGTATGGTTTCAATCATTACTTCTATATATGAGGCATATACATATATATATATAGTTGAATCATGATATTCATTATTCAGACTTTGTGCTGGCAAATAAGGTTGCTACCTACGTAGTCATACTAAGCCGTTAAAGAAACCCCGCTGCAGATCCTGAGCCCTACTATACCACGTCCGCGAACTCTCAAGCCATGGATCCGTACTAACGAATTTAGCAGCTGTTGGTAGGGGTCTTTGTTACGGCACAGGGAGGTCTCTTCCTTCGGCTCCCAATGCAGGGTCAGGACTTTTAGGTTGAGGACGTAGGGAAACAACACTTTTCTTCATGACTGAAGCCTTAAACCTTAGATTGTTTACCTACGTGCTCGGTGTAAGTTGAAAGCATTCATCTTAATTAAGCATTCCAGGGAAGCAAAGGTCAATTTCGGATTTACGACTAAATCTTGTGTCTAGCTGAGTGCTAAAGTTGTCATCTAAGATTTTAGATGAATGGCTACGTGTTGGCATCGTCTAAAGTGCTACCACAACGGGTATAGGTCGTAAACGAATTATGCATCTCTACGTAACAGGTCCTGTGAACAAAATTGGCCAAGCTTGAAGTAGTGAGTTGCCCTCGTACGGCTTGTGGTTGAGGGGGCGCTCGCTGGGCACCCATGAAATACTGGTACAAGCCTGGAAGTGGAATCTCATGTAGGGGTCGCACAAACAAATGGCGACAGTATCCCGATATACTTATGTTATCTTACGTTTTTTGTACCCAGATCTTGTTATTATTGGTATTCTCAAAAGTTGAGTTGTTTTCTCAGATCCGTGTACTATCAGCATGTACCAGTTCGCCAGATTCGGCATTTAAACGAGTTTTTGCACAACAAGGAAATGAATTTAGGGCTTTGGTAATCGAATATGGCTCGTTTACACAGATCTGTGAGGTTATCGGAGTCTTTATGCAAGGGCCCAAATACTTAACATATGATTCGTGGTATATGGTGTTTAGGAGCTGTCAGGGCGGGACTACGTCACCAAATATTGAGTCAGACCTCTATGGAAGCAGTGCGGCACAAACAGGATTTTGAGAGGAAGCAACAGGGATCGCCAACAAAATGTGCACAGCATTTTGGCGGGGACACGACTTCCGGAGGCGCAGTTATTACCTGTTTGGCTTTTGAAGTGGGATGTGGAGGGGGCGGTAGCATATATATATATATTTATTTATTTATGCATGTATGTGCACATAGATCTATTTATGTATGCATGCATGTAGGTAGGTAGGTAGGTACGTACGTATGTGTGTGTGTACGTGTGTATGATGTATGTATGTATGTATGTATGTATGTATGTACGTAGGTAGGTAGGTAGGTAGGTAGGTAGGTAGGTATGTAGGTATGTATGTATGTATGTATTCAGGTATGTATGTACGTATGTATGCATGTGTTTATGTACGTATGTATGTATATGTATGCATGCATCAGGTTGTATAGGACAAAGGCCTTCATGGTATTTGCGACACGACCAACGAGTGCACATGCAACTGCGGCCACAGTAGCAGTTGCAGGGTTGCTTTTGGCCCTACGTAATCCTTGCGGAACCCGACAAACTTAAATCATGACCCGACACTTCTGAAACCCCTTATCCGTCGGGTCTAACAAAAATTCTTAACCACCGACTACCACCAAAAACAACACACACACACACAAGCGAGCTAAACCCCAACTGGTCTGCCAAGGTGTGACGACCAGCTCCACATCCGGGAGCGTGGGAGGGTTCAGGGCTTCTTTTTCCCTTTGGCTTTTACTGCTTTGTAAGGCTTGGTGCTCGCGTGAAGTCAGTTCATTCTTTCGGCCTGAGGTTTGGGGTGAAAGGGTTTCGGGGGTTTGTGTGTGTGGGGATTAAACAGCTTGAAGTCTTCTTCGGGTTTAGGGTTTAGAGTCTCCCACAAGCCTAAACAAAAGAGGGTAGACAGCTTGCGCTGTAGATCTTGAGTGTTTGTGGGTGAAGAACTAGACCCGGCTTGAATGTTCGTCTCTATGCTAGACATAAGAAAGGTTATGAAAAACACAAGCCAGCCAATAACTAACCCTAAACCCTAAACAGTAACCATGCCTAAGCGATGGTTGTAGCCACAAAGACAGTACTCGGAACCTTGCCTATGGCTACCTTTCTCCCCCATCTCCCGCCATCAAAATGCAAACCCTACCCACAGAATGTTTTCCACACCAAAACACCCAAAAGCCCCAACAACTGTTCGAGGAGGATGTTTGCCTATTGTGTCGTCTTCAGGGCTTAGGCTTTATGGGTTCACAGAGTTGTTCGAAGGGCTGTGCGGGTTTTAGGTTGTGGAGATTCACCGGTATACACTTCCGGCTGTTTCGCAAGAGCGAGGCATCCACTCCACCGTCTTCCTTCAACCATCTTCAACCTCGGGGTTCTTGCCGTATTTCGGAGTTGTTTAAGTTAACTGCAGGACATCGACCTCCACAACGAGTGCGTCCAGCAGCCGGACCACAAGCACCTCGGTCTCTTCCACAACATCAAGCAGTTCTGCAACCAGAAGCTCTAGCACGACTGCGACGAGTAGCAGCACGAGCTCAGCAACCGTAACTTCCACAAGTACTTCGATCACATCCACCACCACGTCTTCCACAGCAACCACGAGCAGCACCTCTTCGAGCAGTGCAACTTCTAGCACAACGTCCACGAGAAGCACGACAACGTCCACTTCTACCACCGGCACGGCAACGACGAGTATCACCACAAGCTCAACTATCACAACTTCCACAAGTACCTCGGAAACGCATACTTCGACATCAGGCACGATGACTACATCCACAAGCTCCTCAGGCACCCCCACCACCACTTCAAAAACCTCAAGTTCAAGCGCAACAACCACAAGAAGCAGCACAAGTTCAACCACGGATACTTCCACGAGTACATCAGGCACCTCAACGATTACTTCGAGTGGCACAGCGACCTCAACTACGTCGCTCAGCACAACGACGACAAGGAGCACAAGAACTTCCACGAGTACTTCGGGCACGTCTACTGCCACGTCGAGCACCACGGCATCTAGCACGACATCTACGACAAGTGCTACAAGGTCCACAACATCAACAGGCACGACAACGGCAAGCAGAACATCTACATCCACGAGTACTTCGGGCACGTCTACTGCCACGTCGAGCACCACGGCATCTAGCACGACATCTACGACAAGTGCTACAAGGTCCACAACGTCAACAGGCACGACAACTGCAAGCAGAACATCTACATCCACGAGTACATCGGGCACGTCTACTGCCACGTCGAGCACCACGGCATCTAGCACGGCATCTACGACAAGTGCCACAAGGTCCACAACGTCAACAGGCACGACAACGGCAAGCAGAACATCTACATCCACGAGTACTTCGGGCACGTCCACTGCCACATCGATCACCACGACGCTTACAACAACATCTACGGGAAGTACCACACTGTCGACGACATCAACAGGCAGCACAACTATCAGCAGCACCACAAGCTCGACCATTACAACTGCAACACATACTTCGTCCACATCCACCACCACACTGAGTACCACCACGTCTTTCTCCACAACTGCCAGCACAACGACAACGTTGAGCAGAACGACATCCACAACTGCTTCGGTCACCTCGACTTCGACCTCAATCTCTAAATCCTCCAGCTCAACATCCACGCGAAGTACCACCATCTCCGTGACCTCCACATTATCGACATTCACGTTCACGAGCACTTCGGGCACATCCACTACTATGACGACCACGAGTACCTCGGCCACGACTACCGCTACATCGACTACGGCTAGCACCAGCGCAAGCACTACATCCACAACGTCTTGGAGCACTTCCACCACCGCTTCAGCAACCTCAACTTCTAGCATGACATCCACGGGTAGCAGCACAAGCTCAAGCACCGATACTTCCTCAAGTACTTCAGGCACCTCCACCACTACCCTGAGCGCCACAGCGACCTCGACTACGTCGCTGAGCACAACAGTCACAAGTCTTACGGCAACATCCACAAGCACTGCAAGCACCTCTAGCACCGCATCCAGCACGGCGACGTCCACAACAGCAACAATGAGCAGCACCACGAGTGCAACAACCTTTACTTCAACGAGCACTATAGTCACGTTCACTATCACATCATCCTCCACGACTTCGTCGGCCACGACGTCAAGGACCAGCACTACCTCTACCACCTCGCTCAGCACAACAGCAACGTCCACAAGCACCAGGAGTACCTCTACCACTGCCTCGAACACGGCGACTACCACAACAGCAACGGTTAGCAGCTCTACAAGTGGAACAACTCTAACTTCCACGAGTACGTTGGTCACGTTCACTGTCACAACAAGCGCCACGACAACGTCGGCCACGACATCAAGGACCAGCATCACCTCCACGACGTCGCTCAGCGCAACAATGACAAGCACCACAGCAACATTCACAACTACTGCAAGCACTTCGAGCACCGCTTCAAACACTGCGACTTCCACAACATTAACTGTCAGCAGCACCACAAGTGGAACAACACTAACTTCCACGAGTACGTTGGTCACGTTCACGGTCACAACAAGCGCCACGACAACGTCCGCCACGACATCAAGGACCAGCATCACCTCCACGACGTCGCTCAGCGCAACAATGACAAGCACCACAGCAACATTCACAACTACTGCAAGCACTTCGAGCACCGCTTCAAACACTGCGACCTCCACAACATTAACTGTCAGCAGCACCACTACGGGATCGTTCACTATGACAATGACATCAACGTCCCCGACATCTAGCGGAACCTCCACCAGCAGCACAACGAGCTCGACATCGTCCATTTCTACGAGTACTTCCGTCACATCCACAATCACATCAAGCACTAGCGCCAGCACGACGGCAACGAGCAGAACGACATCCACAACTGCTTCGGTCACCTCGACTTCGACCTCCATCTCTAAATCCTCCAGCTCAACATCCACACGAAGTACCACTATCTCCGTGACCTCCACATCATCGACATTCACGTCGACTACTATGACGAGCATGACTGCAAGTTCCACTACGTCAACAGGCACGACAACTGCAAGCAGAACATCGACATCCACGAGTACTTCGGGCACGTCCACTGCCACATCGAGCACCACGACGTTTACAACAACATCTACGGGAAGTACCACACGGTCGACGACATCAACAGGCAGCACAACTATCAGCAGCACCACAAGCTCGACCATTACAACTGCAACACATACTTCCACCACCACACTGAGTACCACCACGTCTTTCTCCACAACTGCCAGCACAACGACAACGTTGAGCAGAACGACATCCACAACTGCTTCGGTCACCTCGACTTCGACCTCCATCTCTAAATCCTCCAGCTCAACATCCACGCGAAGCACCACTTTCTCTGTGACCTCCACAGTATCGACATTCACGTCCACGAGCATTTCGGGCACATCGATTACTATGACGAGCATGACTGCAAGTTCCACTACGTCAACAGGCACGACAACTGCCAGCAGAACATCTACATCCACGAGTACATCGGGCACGTCTACTGCCACATCCAGCACCACGGCATCTAGCACGACATCTACGACAAGTGCTACAAGGTCCACAACGTCAACAGGCACGACAACGTCAAGCAGAACATCTACATCCACGAGTACTTCGGGCACGTCTACTGCCACGTCGAGCACCACGGCATCTAGCACGACATCTACGACAAGTGCTACAAGGTCCACAACGTCAACAGGCACGACAACTGCAAGCAGAACATCTACATCCACGAGTACATCGGGCACGTCTACTGCCACGTCGAGCACCACGACATCTAGCACGACATCTACGACAAGTACTACAAGGTCCACAACGTCAACCGGCACAACAACCGCAAGCAGCACGACAAGGTCAACCAGCTTGACTTCCACAAGTACTTCTGGCACCTTAACCACAACATCTAGATCCACTACTGTTTCCATGACATCATCTAGCACGAAAACAGTAAGCAGCACTGTCACTTCGACAACCACTTCGGGAACATCAAGCACTACATCAAGCAGCAGTGCGACCGTTACTACCTCCACCTCCGCAACTACATCTGCGACAGCAACCACCAGCACTTCAACATCAAAGACGTCAACGGCAACTTCAAGCACTTCCACAACCACCGCCAGCACAACTTCGACTGCCACAAGCCAGACCAGCACCTCCAGCAGCAAGACGTCAGTGACAACTTCCTCTACTTCGTCCCGTTCATCGACTTCCAGCTTCACTTCCAGCACGAGCAAGTCCCTCACTGCGACCTCGACCACCAGCAAAAGCACATCCTTCACTTCCAGCACGACGATTTCAGTTTCAAGTACCAGCCAAACCGCCACATCGACATCCAGTTCGTCCAGCTCAACTTCCAGCAGCATCCTGGTCAATCGGGTTCGGAGGGGCTAGACAGTCTCCGAGGCTTAGGCTTCTGATAGGTGCTATGCGGATTGCAGTAGGAGCTCCTGTATAAAAATTATAAAGGGCTAGAGTATACATAGGGGTTTGGGGTTTAGGTTCTGGGGTTTAGGGTCCCCACTACAAGCCTGTTGACTTGAGCCATTGCCAGGTTAAGGTACGTCCATCACCCCCAAACCCGAAGACCTACACCCTGAACCGCAAAACCCCGCAAACCCTGCACCCCTAAATCCTTGAGCCCCAAAGCCTTACTAAGACCTGAACCCTGCACCCCAACACCCTAAACTGCCGAGGTTCTAGTACCTCCACCACTACAAGCCGCTCGACCACCACGAGCGCCACTGGAAGCTCCTAAGCTTGCAAGCTGGGTCCATCTGGGGCCGGGAGAGAACCTTTAATTCCGTGCTATATTGTTTTAGGGTTTAGGGTTATGATGTGTTCTTATCTGATATTAGATTGTACCATAGCGTACTCTACTCACTGTACTCTACCATTTTGTATTATATTGTGTAGTAGGGTGCTATCTGACCCAAGCTTAGCTTCGTATTTCGAAACTGGGAGTGAGCGTTTTGCACCGAAGCTCTAAGGATCCCTTCACCCTAATAGCCCAAGCTAAATGGGGGTTTCCGAAAACAGGGGACCCTAATATAGTACCCTAATTTTTTAAATAGTAGGATCCTTATTATAAGGACCCCAAAATAAGGTACCCTAATTGTCGGAAACTCCCAAATCTGACCTCTGGCTTGGCTGTAGGATTCCGGCACCGGGTTCGCATACTGTAGGAGACTTCATATTCTGCTACGGTTGGTGGCGTCTTAGGGTCTAGGCTAGCAGAGTTTATGATGACGTTTTGCAGCTTCGCTGACTACTTGAATGCATCTTACACGGTCTCAGACCCGTAAGTGGAACTCGAGGGTAGCATTATGCACCCGAGCGCCATGATTTGTTCAGCGTTTGTGCGATGCTGAGGCCCAAACTCGATTCAGGGATGAGTTTAGCTGAGCGCAGACTCTGCTCGGACGTTTCGAAGCAAGGTTTTGAAGCCAAGACCGCAACAGGCTTACGAACCTCCTACCCCCGGAGTGTCCGAACGTGAGCGCCGCAACCCTAACTTTACTGTAGGGTGTTCGATGGGTTGCTTGTACTTGCGGCGCTCCGCACCAAGCCAGTAAACTCCACAGAGTTGGAGCTGCAACCTGCCAGCTGGGAACGTTGGGGTTTGTGATGGTGAGTTGGGGATTTAGGGCCCATGGGGGTTCAAATACAGGACCCTGTTATATGCAAACATTTATATATATATGTACATTGACCCGTATGCATCTGTACACAGTATTTGTATGTGTACATGTACATGTATATGTCTATTTAGACACAGACACACACACACGCATATATATATATATATACATATACATACACACACATCAATATATATATATATGTATATATTTATACATACATACAGATATACATACATACATACATACATACATACAGCCATACATACGCCCAAACATTTGTTGTTGCTGTGATCATGTGTCGGTTTATGCAATATGTAGATACAGACATCTCGTATTACGTGTGTGTGCATACTTACATACACACATACCTACATACATACATACATACATACATATGTATATGTATATATACACATGTGTGTGTATACATGTACGTGTTTATACGCATACGTACGCATAGGTAGGGACCCTCACATTGTAGAACCTCAAGGTAATTGATGCCTGAAGCTTTCAGAACCAACCCTGCGTACCAGATGCGGACTTTAAATCCACCGTTGTATTCTCCACCACGGCCAAAAATCATTACTGTGAATACTGTATGTGCAGGAAGGATGTATGCAGATGCTTGAAGCCCGTATTTCCCTCAAGGTAAAGTTGGGCAGAGTTTCTGTTATAATGTAGCTAGAGCCATGAATCCTAAATGACTATCTCGACTCATGGTCGTGCCACTGAGCCAACAACGTTCAGGTTGACGGGTTTCGTGCTGTGGCCGATACCGACACACCATAGCTGGCGATGCTAGCTGCTAACCAGTACAGGGTTTTGGGTTTAGGGGTTTAGGGTTAGTAAGTCTTGTCATGGGTGTTATTCCCAATGACTTCTGCTGAAGGCACCACCTCGAGCACGACGACTACCAGCAGCACCACGGCTCCGCAAGTCACGGAGAACCTCACGTACAAGCGCAATTTACCCCGAGCCCTTTTTTTGGTCCAACCCCTACACTCAAACTCCTCACAGTCCTGAGAACCCCCCCAAAATAAAAATAAAAAAATAAAAAGGCCCTGATCCCTTCCACCTCAAACCCCCGAGACCCCAGAGCCCTAAAGTCCTAAAACCTCCACCCAAAACCTAGACCCTAAAACCTTCCAGCCCAAGCCCCTACTTGGAGAGCACAAATCCCGAAGCCCTTCGTGTCACTCGAAGAGTATACCTTATACCTACCACTTCTAGTATCCCCTGTAGTACCTTCAATAGGGTGCTGGACACCCTCAAGGCCCGAGGTCTCTAAGGAAACCTTCTGGAACCCGAAGCCCGCAACCTAAAAGCCCAAAGAATGCTTGCAGCAACCTGGTATGGTAGCCTTACTCTGCTATCTGAGAGTAACAGTGATACATAGCTGTTTTGGATACCGCTGTTATACTACATTTACTACTTTATAGTAACCCTTACCCATCCCCTACCCTTCAACGCCAAGCCCGTAGACCTTAACGGAATACAGAACGCTAAGCATACACGCTCAAAGTCCCCCGGACTTAGCATACCTGAATATAACCAAACCGTTTTAGCAGCCCTTTTCGGAACCTCACTACCCAGGTACTTTGCCCTCGTGGTGCCGGCGATTCTGGGCGAGTGCCCCCTCGGTGCAGAACTGCGACAACACATCATCCGAGGTCTCCGGGACGTGGGCGTAGGGTATGTTACAGGGTTTCTGTAGGACTGTAGGGTAGTATAAAGGAGTGGTAGAGATTGCACAGGGTGTTATGTGGGTTCCTGTTGAGGAGTGCTATGGCACGAGCTAGTTGAATTTGTGATGCTCGCAATATACTTTGCTTGGATTTGTTTGCATTCTTGGGCTGATAAAAGCTACTGACAACTATTCCAATGCTGTTCAACACCTCTGACCATTGAGATCGTGTCTCACCCGTAGCTTAGAGTTAGTGCTTCGTTTACTTTTGGTGCAGGTTGAGCCTCAACTAGTGTTTCTAAAAGATGCGGGTCCCTTATGAGGGCTTGGGTCAGGGTCATCCCGCTGCGAACTTGAAGCCAAGCCCCAACTTGCTTCGGATAGACTTTTTTTCGTAAACCCCCGAATCCCCACACTTCCCAGGCTTAGGCCGTTTTAAGCTGTGAGCAAACGAATTCCTAAACCTGAGTCCTAAGCTAAAGTCTACCCAACTCCCGGAGCTGCAACCCTCCCCGAGAGCATGAAACTTGGAGGACTGGTGCCTCGAGCGGAAACCTGGGCATTGGAGTACTAGACCTTTTTTGGTTGTGCTTTTGGTGGATGTAGGGTTTCATAGTTTTTGGTTTAGGGTTTTGGGGTTTCTGGATTTGGTTTCATCAGCAGTATGACCAGGAAAGTCTATGTTTGTTGTTTTTTTTGGCGGCGGAACTGATTTCAGCATAGGAACGATCGCTAATCGCAGAAAACACCAACAGACTTGCTAGTCGTGGCTTCTTGGGTTCAGAAATTAAGGGTCCAAGAAGAAAGTATCCTTTGGTGGAGGATCTGTGAAACTGCAGCTGGACCCCTACAAAGGCCCTTCTAGGACTTCATCAGGCCTTGAGCCGAAATCCTTTGAAAACCCTGTCAAAATCACCTAACCCCTCAAAGTATTATAGCAGCTTCCTTGAATCCCCAAACCCTAAACAAGACCTCGAACCACATGCCTCGCCTGGAGTGTCCGAGTGCGAGCGCCGAAACCCTAAACCCTTGAACCCAGGAACCGGACGTGGCATCAAGGCTCGTGCCCTGGAGTCGTGGAGGGAAGCCTGCTTTGTCCGGCTCAAAACACTACGGTGCTGGAGGACTTCAGGGCTTAATATAGTAGGGGACGAAATAATTATCAATACTATTCTTAGGGCTCCTCATTATGATGCTATAGTAGGTGTCTTATAAATTCAAAGTCCTGTGAACGTAGCTGTTTAGGACTCAGACTCGCACTCATGCGTCGGAGGACGTCCTGGAAACACTTGTGTCTCAAGCAAAACGGCTTGATACGTTTCCTTCTGAAGCTGCTTTGCCCGCAGGTTTGTTTTTTGTTCATGCCTGATCTAACCAAAGCTGCATCGGAGGTTCAAACCCTCCGAAAAAGTGCCAGAGTGTTGGACGATGTCAACTCACAAGCGCATCACTCCTGTGCAATTCTGCGACTCCATCGGGGTCTCACAGATGACTTTGATGACTACGCCTTTGTCGATGCAGTGGGCAGTACCGCGATTTGCTGCCAAATCTCATTCGCCCTGGGTTGACCAAACACTTGAAATGCAAAATAATGCAAGTGACGTACCGAACCAACTTGCCTGTATCACCCAAGTCACGCTTGAAAAGTGGAATTCCTTGACGGCCTTCCGTCCCGACCAGGCCCCCCATTAAGAAATTCAATGCGGCCATCAAAAGGGTCATTAGATTTCGGGCTGCCCTCGAAGGGTTTAAGGCTAATCAAAAGCTCGAGAATGATTGTCGCATGCGTGTCCTTGAACCAGTTTGGGCACAGACTGAAAGATGTGCCTCTAGCAATCAGCTGATCAATTATTCTACTGAGCCGCGCAATCTTACACACAGATGCGCTAAACTAGATTCTGGACTCCGTGCTATCTGCAGCAAGTCATGGATCTCTTCGTTACACGTGTTTTTGCACATTCTTTTGAGGATGCATATGTCGTCCTTTGTTTCGCGTTTTATGGGCAGGCTTTCGCCCGCATCACCCCGAAACCTTATTCTAATCATTCAGGCCCCTGCATTAGGGCGGTTTATAGGGTTTGGGATTTGTTTAGGGGTAAGCAAGGCTTCGCGATTCAGGGTTAAGGGCTAACTGTAGCGGGCTAACTGTTTAGGACGTATAGGGGTCACTGTTGCGTAGGATGTAGGTTTCTGGGCTTCTAGGAAGCATGGCGTTGAGGACTCGGAACCTTCATGCACCAGCTGCGCCACCGTGTATCCTGGTCGTTTTGGGCTTCCTTTGTTCCGGTTTACAAACACTGCGCGCCTGTGAGATGCCAAAGGTTTGGCTCATACCCTGCCGTTCCGAATGATTCAGCCCTGCACCACGAAAACGTTCTCATCTTGCGACATTCGCATCAGGTACTTGGCAGATTCCGGGGACTCTGGCTACATCCTTTCTGGGGAGCTGCGGTGGGGTCCGAACGCCAGTTGTGAGGTCGAGGAGATTGTGATCGACGGGTACCAGGCGCCTCGAGCATATGGCTAAAGAATCCGGGGTCCCAGAGCCTCAGCGCAGCTTCCAGGCGAATCTTAAGTCCCATAGGACCACAGCAGACACCGAGGTTTGGCTTTTGAATGAGTGCGGTGATCAGCTCGAATTGCTGGGCAGTGTCGACAAGAAGCCGGACTGGCAGCCGGAAATGCTGACCTGCTGTGACGCATCCTGGTATGCCCTCTACTTAGGCCTCACGGACGTTTCTCCAGAGGCGGCTGCCTTCGCAATTGTACCTTATCGCGGCGCTCAGACGTTTGGAGCTTCCGTATTGCCCATACTCCACCGCACGCCGATTCCCACCACCACAGTGACGACAAGCCGCAGCACTTCGACCACAAGGACGCTCTCAGAGGGTCGAAGCTAAAGCGTGGCCGCCAGGCATGCGATCAAGACTGCAATATTTCGACAATGGGAGATGAGCATCAGGGGTTTGTTCAACAGGCATGCGTCTAGCATCCGTTAGAATGTAATATAGGGCTTTTGCGGCATAGTATAGTACCTATAGTCTCCATTGTAGTTCCTTTTTGGGGTTACCTTGTAGGATCCGCAGTATAGAACTGGCTAAACCGAAAAAAGGAACGACAATGGAGACTATAGGTACAGTACATGCATCTATGGTAAGGAATGCAGCAGAAAGCCGAGACTTGATACCTTCCTTGATGCGACCTCCCGGGCCCGACCTTAACGTTCTTGGCGAGAGGTTTAGGGGTTTAGGGGTTTAGGGGTTAGGGTTTAGGGTTTAGGGGTTTAGGGTTTGGGGGTTTAGGGTTTAGGGGTTTAGGGTTTAGGGTTGAAAAGAGACAGTTCAGACCCAAATCCCAAGACCAAATCCTAACTCCGATGCTGCCAGGATCACCTCGACGTTTACGGATTTGAGCCTTGGATGGTTCTTTCATTGGATGTGGGCCTTAGTGCCCCGAGTTCCAGTAGATTTCGGGTCGGGGCTGCTGGAGTTTTGGTTCGGGGTTTAGGGTTTAGGGGGCAGAAGGATGCAGAAGGGTGTGATGGTGGTTTGCAGGGCGGGTTTTAGGGCAGGTTCTTCTGATGTGTTGATTTGTGTGCTCCACGTCGCGTTGTTTCCGGAGTCGCTCCTTGGCGAGCATCGCCAAAAGCATGGCCCTTGAACGAGGCCCCAACATGTAATAGCCCGTACACCATAAGCCCGCACCGGGGAGTTTCTGCAACATACGAAGCCTTATTGCAGAGATTGAATAGCAAGGTGTGGCTTTTTGGCTTGTGGGGGTTTGGCTATCGTCAAAGACCTGGATGCGGTAGGGCTGCTCGGGTCTGGTGGGTTAGCGGCTCTTTCTGTGTTGGGGCTTGGAGCATTGGTGGTCCTAGACAGCCTAAAGACAGATGAAGCAGCTTCATGATTAATGTGTATAGAAGCTATTCTTGAGGGTTTCTTAGTACATTTAGAAAAATTAATATACTGTACTATACTAACCTCCAAAACCGTATTCTACTTGCTCAAGGCCATGATATTTCCTCGAAGCACCAGTCCTGTCAGGAGCCCGGTCCGTGTGGACGGCTGCCTGAGCGTTCTGATGGCAGATCCCTCTGAGCTCCTCATCTGAGACGATTTATAGAACTTTGAGTGGCCAACCGTTGAGTAATACTTTCATAGTTATGTAAGGCCCTTAATGGTGCCCTTGTTATAGACCGTCATCTTCGACCTCTTATGCCTGTGGTTTCCTGTTCGCCGTCGTCTTTTCCACTGTCGAAATCAGTAAACCCTAAACCCTAAACCCTAAACCCTAAACCCCAGCCCCAGGTTCGAAGATCACGCTGACTTGGTGGCGCAGGCCTCGCATGGGGGTGAGGGTTACTTCGACTTGTGGTTTTGGGGCTTGAAACTGCGCGCCAGTGTCTACCATAGGGGCTTAAGTACTTACCCATACTATGTTGGGCACTTTTAAGATGACCTCAGAACCCTGTTCGAATTATTAAGACCCCTATGTACGTAGAACCTTTATGCTCT